TTTTAGATGAGTAGAATGTGTCCTTTTATTTAAAATGCATCTCTGGGTTATTTGTGGGGCATAGGAATTCGTTCATTTCCCCCCCTTCAAAATATAGTCTGGGCCCCCACGAGGTCTGAGGGACAGTGGACCAGCCCCCTGCTGAAAAAAATTGCCGACCCCTGGTATATATCATATATATGATAATACACTCGGTTCTCCAAGTTCCAGTTGATGTGCAGCACAGTATCTTTCTCATGAAAAGGCAAAGTTTGGAGAAATCCCAAGGTTCGCAGAAGTAAGTTTTAAATGGAAAAAAGCTCTATTGAGCATTGTAGCTTAAATTCATAAGGCATAATAATATTGAGGCGTTAGCAGATACATATTGTACGCACACAATTGGTGCAATAGCTATACCATGTTCAATTGAAACAGCGGTTGATAACTAGTGTTTGTAAGCATACATAGTTGTATGAAGTTGTAAAACTATTTATCATTGTAATTCTAAATATTTAAGCCTGTGCTGACTCTGTATTCCTTCTCCCCTTCCCCCATTATAAATATAAATTTTGCAGAGAACTAGCCCCAGACTAGTGGGGCTACTGGCTACCTAAATCCCAAAAATAAAAGTGCTTCCTGGGTGGTGGAGCAGGAAACACACAAATAGGCCCTCAGCTGATTGCTAAATGAAGAGCTGGCTGTCTTCCTGGCCCAGAGGTCTTTGTCTGCTGTGTTCCGGATCCGATGTGGAGGGAAGAATGTTTTTGCTGAAGCAACTGTTCTTTATCAAGACCTGAACCACCATTGGCATCTGCAAGAAGTTGCTTCTCTTCCAGATAACCAGAATCCACATAGACACAACTCTATGACTTTCAGAATTTGTGTTTGAGTTTGCTCTCCCCTCCTCCGTCCCATTATTTTTCCTCACGTGTCATGTCTTAGATGGTGAGCCTCCTGAGGGCAGGGACTGTCTTAGTGCTGATTTTTATAAGCTGCTCTAGCAGCCACTTTGGCTAAAGGGTATAAATGCCTTACATAAAAAATATTAAAAAGTAATATAAAAAGTAAGGTTCTAATTGCTTGGCACAATATTTATGTACTTTACAAGACTTTGCAATAGCTAATCAATCCTTGCTTGCTTTGCAAGTAATTTTCTTGCCATGTCCCTTGTTTTACTAGTGTACGTAAAACTGATTCAGAATTTATATACAAGAATTAAGACATCTTGTAGCTGACAAACACGTGACAGAGTGCAGTCATTTCTTACTCCAACAGGTTGCAAATTTGCTAAATGATGGCAGGATTAGCCTAACTTTAGTGTACTACAGAGAGTAAGATTCTGGGATGGCATGACACATTTTAAGCCGATGCTTGCCAAGACATAACAGTTTAAAAACTGACATTTGTGCTCAAACCATACTGCCACAGTCCTTACTGCTTCATGACAAACTGTCACTCTGCAGTACTGTGTCTAGTTGGTAGCTGTAAAATTATCTTGTTTTATGTTGCAGGGGCTAGTATACTGTTGACAGTGCCCAGGAGTAAGACAAGCCTGTGCCTTATGTGTATGATGGTAGCTGAAAAGTGTCTGTTCTCAAATTCTATAAAAGCAAGGTGCCAGACAAACCCAGGATGTGTGCCTTGTTTTCATGTTGTATGTTAAACTTGCCAGCTACTTACCACCCAAAACAACCCAAACAATAGCTTTTCCCCCCATTTTGTATATTTGAGAATGTGTTTAACGGGATCCTGCTGCAATCAAGAGGGTTTTATGGCGAAGCCTAGCAGTGATTCACTAAGCTGTTAAAATAATATTTTCAAACATTCTCATTTCTCAGGGAGCACAGTTACTAGCTTTTGTTAGGAATGGGGAAATTGGATAGGACAAAAAATTCTAATATTCTGTAGGAACTGAAGCAACTGTGTTGGTGGGCTGGGGATTGGAAAGTCAGAAAAGAGGGGTTCTTATTAACGGCAAGTATCTGAGGACAGTAATATAGGTGTTAGGCACTTACATGGACCTCACACAGAGCCGAGCCCTAAGGTAAGTGGAAGGAAGCGAGGCATTCTGGATGAGTAGGGTGCTGTTTATGAGTCTTGTGGTGGAGTAAGCAAGAGATTTGTTCACCATAGTCCTCTAGTAACCCATTAATAAAATGAGCTGGGAGCCATGTTTTCCACCCATGCTATTGCCTTATTTAAAATACTTTTTAAAATGTCTTGTTTACAAGAATAACAGTCTTAAAGATGAACGTGATTATATGTGGATCTTTCTGTGGACTAGGGCCCATGTCATTAGGTGCAGTCCGTCTTTTATCTAATTAAAGTGGACTCTAGTCCACAAAAGCTTTAAGGGGTGCCATAAGACTCTTTTTGCTGCCACAGACTGATATGGCTATTCCTCTGGAATCTTTTACACAGTGAATTATAGGAGAGAGTTCTTGCGGTGGAAGGAATAACCCTGAGTTGTAGCTGGATGGCTATAATTTTAAAGAGTGTGGATACATCATTTATAGGCAAAGAGCCATCTATGACCACTGCAATGGCCCTTAAACTGTGGGGGCCAAAACACCTGGAAGGGGAATGCTAGATTCCAGGGTGGGGTAGGAGGATCATTCCTACTTTTTACCATTGAATCCTCATTGGTCTACACTGGATTTGTAGGTGTGACTGCTCTCCTGCTTTGCCCCATTAGCAATTGTGTACTTTCACGGGTGGCGCTGTGGGTTAAACCACTGTGCTGCTTGGGCTTGCCGATCGAAAGGTCAGCGGTTCGAATCCCCGTGACGGGGTGAGCTCCCGTTGTTCAGTCCTAGTTCCTGCCCACCTATCAGTTTGAAAGCACACAGTGCAAGTAGATAAATAGGTACCGCTCCGGCGGGAAGGTAAACGGCATTTCCATGTGCTGCTCTGGTTTCGCCAGAAGCGGCTTAGTCATGCTGGCCACATGACCCAGAAAAACTGTCTGCGGAAGCAGACAAACACCGGCTCCCTTGGCCTTTACAGCAAGATGAGCGCCGCAACCCCAGAGTCATTCACGACTGGACTTAATTGTCAGGGGTCCCTTTACCTTGCTTTCTTCTGATTGTGTGACCTTTAGGAGCAGGCAGAGATGTCTTGTTCTATTCCACTTCTTGATTACCAGTGTTGGATTTGGGCCCTAATCCATAGGTACTTGCACTAGGCAGCATCTGACTGCATGCAAGAAACTATGCATCTTCTGCTGTGGCACTTGGTGTTGAGTAGAGAAGAAGTTTAGAAGTGGGGCAGAACTCAAAAAAGTTTTAAGATGATAGGGGGAAATATATTACATGCCATAAAATAGTTTAAAATAATTTTTAATGCTCATGGTTTGAAAAGCAATTTGCAGTGGTTTTCATCCTTTTCCCACAACCATCCTATAATGCAGGTCATGGTCTATTGCTCTTACTTTATAGATGAGGAATTGAGACTGAGCTGAGATTTAAACTTTGCTACCTCAGGTCCAATAGATCTATGCAGCCCCTGTAGTCTCAATACAGCATCACTGGCTCCCGTAATAGGCAAGGCTGGCATTGAAGAGAGTAAAAGTGAATTGTGATGCAGACAGGAATTAATGCCAAGATTTTTTAAATAAGCATGTGAGGCTAGAGGGTGATTTATGATGGCCACAGAGCAGGCTTTACTGCTTCTGCTGTTAGCACAGAGAAATCCTCTTCTCCACTGATAAGTTAGTTCAGATCATTATTATTTAAATACCTATTCAGGTTAAAAGGGAGGATGAAACGAAATTCATTTCATTTTTCAATTGATCTGCAAATAGCCATGAAAATCAATTTTCTTTTCTGTGTCCAATTAAAACCAGCCATTTCCCTAGCTTCAGGTAAATTCGGTCAAAATTAAGCTTGATCTTAAAGGCAGCATGTGATCAGGATCACCCTTTATGTCAGGCAACGGATCAGTATTTGAATGTAGTTGCCACCAGACCCTGGGCATGCCACACTGGCTTTGTAATTTCAGCAGTGTGTGAAGCCAAGAGAAATGCCCTTAAGGGTATGCCACACTTCCATTTAATCATTTCAGCATTCAAAATATTGGCTGTTGTGTAATTGCTGTGAAATCCAGTTATGCAAACTCTAGCTTCTTTCCAAGCTAGAATCTTTACTACTGGAACAAAAGCCAGAATGGTAAGGATTTATTTCCCAGGTTTTCTCTCGACAGTAAATCAGAGAGTTTTGCTGGGAGGAGATGTTGCAGCCAAAAGGGCTGTGTCCCTTCGTTTCATCCAATGGGCGTGGGCAGTTGGCAAATTTATTGCAAATTCTGGCTTGGAGCAGATTTCGTTTCTTTACACCAGTAGGAAATTTGTCCTTTGAAAGTAGGTTATACTCACCTTCAGCATTTTTCATCCTGGCAAGACCCTGATGTTTTGTAATACCTTGTTGGCAAATCTAATGTGGACCAGTGGATTTGTTAGGATCGTAGAATTGTAGAGTCAGAAGGAACCATGAGCATCATCTAGTCCAACCCCCTGCAATGTAGGAATCTTTTTGCCTGACCCATGTTTGGAACCCATGAGATTAAGAGTCTCATGCTCGTTGCTCTGGGATTCTTTAATTCTCACTTAGCCTGATGATTATGCCTTTTCACAATATATGGGTATGCCAGTTCTAGGTAGGATCACACCTTAAGAGCTGACTTGCAGCTTGAGAAAATTTCTGACTTGATTTACTTGTTTTATTTAGCTGCTGTCTCACCTTATGTATTAATTTTAATTAACTATATTATAAGTGATTTTTTTGGAGGGGTGGTATTATTAAGTTTAATGACGGAAGGTGATGCCCAGCTAAGTCATACTCAGAGTAGACCCTTCGCAATCAATGAACTTAAGTTACTTAGTATGAAGGCAACTCTTATACAGCTGGCATGACTAAGTCCAACTTTCTTTTTCCTGTTTGGAATAATGATAAAATGCCATTTATATGCCTAGTTATTGATACTTGGGGAAATGGTTTATGCATCTTTGGTTGTATTTGTAACAGGCTTTTTCTCAGTGTGAGAAGATGTTTGTGGTGCTGGGCAGCCCTTTGGGAAAAATTGAGATATCTGGATGCAAGCTGGGGGTCCATGAAATCCACCTGGAGCGAAATGCTGTGCTACAAAATGGGTAAGCCTGTGTTCCACTGATTATTTTTTCATATGTGCATGTTAAAAGTAAAAAAAGAAAGAAAAAAGAGCCTTTCATATAATTGGAATGAAAAATATTTACTAATTTATTGCTATAGCTTTGCAATGTTCACTTTAATGTTTTTATTTTAAAAGAACTCATCCTTATGGCTTGAAACAATCGACTAGTCTAGCTTGATGCTTTGACACTGACTGCAGAACGAGTCCAAGACTTATTGTTGTTATTCCTTAACATTAAAAAATAGGGTGATGATTGAGAGTCTATAAATCCTACCACTAGAGAATGGATCTGGCAAGGCAAGCAGAGCACAAGGTCAGGAAGCGTCCCTGTCCATTTTTCAGCCATGGAATGAGAGGGGAGGTGGCTTCCCTTCTCATGTATTGGGCTTGGAGAGACTGAGAAAGCAGCCAGAACTTCCATAGCTGGCTAGGCATAGTTCCAATAGGCAAACTCAGTGTAGCACCTCCCAAGGGTTGGGACTCTCCCTGATATTGCCCTTAGACATGAAGACCTTGAAAAATATGACTGCATTTGGTGTGTCTCTGAAGTCCAAATCAGGGGTGGTATCCTGCTCCTGCAGAGGCTGAAGGTGGTAACAGTGGTGGTGGAAAGTACATACAGATTTCTGTCTACCTTTCTGACAAGGAACCAATGCAAAAGCTATGATTGGGCTACACTGGTGAAAATCTACACAGCAGATGTGATTCTTTATCCCTATACAGTGGTACAGAGGGTAGAGATGCTTCAGGTTACAGACTCCGCTAACCCAGAAATAGTAACTCGGGTTAAGAACTTTGCTTCAGGATGAGAACAGAAATCGTGCTCCGGTGGCACGGCGGCAGCAGGAGGCCCATTAGCTAAAGTGGTGCCTCAGGTTAAGAACAGTTTTAGCTTAAGAACGGACCTCCGGAACGAATTAAGTTCTTAACCTGAGGTACCACTGTATGTCTTTCTGTGCAAGCACTGTTGCGAGTGGTTAACCAGGCTGTATAGATTCAAGAAATGCTACTAGTGTACATGTGCAATGAGGACAATAGAGACTTTCGATTCATTGTGTCCTTTCAGAGGATTACAGTGGTGCCCCGCAAGACGAATGCCTCGCAAGACGGAAAACCCGCTAGACGAAAGGGTTTTCCGTTTCTGAGTTGCTTCGCAAGACGATTTTCCCTATGGGCTTGCTTCGCAAGACGAAACGTCTTGCTAGTCTTGCGTCCCCCCCCCCGCTTCCCCCGCTTTTTCTAAGCCGCTAAGCCGCTAATAGCCTTTTAGCATCATAGCCGCTAATCCTTTAATAGCCGCTAATAGCGCTAATCCACTAAGCCGCTAATAGGGTTGCTTCGCAAGACGAAAAAACCGCTAGACGAAGAGAATCGCGGAACGGATTCATTTCGTCTTGCGAGGCACCACTGTATGGTGCAATCGGTTAGCCACCTATCAGAACTATGGTTGCTACCATATCGAACTCTACAATAAACACACAGCTTTTCCTCTCCTTGGAAGTCACAATTGCTTGTCCCTTCCCAGGAACATACCTGGCCCCATCATATTTGTTATCTCTGCCACACACCTTACTTGGGAGCTTGTAGACTGCTGGTTCTAAACTTGTGATAATTTATATTGTTTTTTTCATAGGCCTGGCTAATAGGAGGATGAAATTGTGATCTGTGTGAGTGTTGGTAGGGTTGCTGTTGGAAATGATTATGGGCGCCGGGCAGAGTTGTGACCATGTGGGGAGGCAAGATAAATACCAAAAGGACATTCATGATGTCAAGGAAAGGAAGAAGGGGGAAACAATGACTTTTGGTGATAGGAAAACTGGTAGCAATGGGCTCTGTGTGTGTACATGTTGCTGGGTATATGTGAGTTTTGCTGTGTTGATTTTGGGCCCAGGAAATGTGGCCACCCAGCACCTGACTTTCTTGCTGCGACTTCATGGTACATAATTCTGTATTTCTCAGAAGTTGCTAAAGTTTCGTTTTAGCAAAAATATTGTATACTACCAGAGTTATAATTTCTCAGTTGTATAGAATATGTCTGATCCAGACTGTGTATTTCCCCCAGCTTTTGCTTCTAAAGCACAAACAGACAGAGGACCTCAGGAGGTCAGTACATTTTCCGACTTACTTGCCTTAAAGTAATTCCATTGGTTTTCTGAGCCTCTCAGTTAATAGGAAATTATAAAAGAAAGAAAAAAACCAGCACAGCAGCTTGGTCTTGATAGGGATTGCCACACCGTCTAATTCGATTGCACGAGTTTCAGTCAATTTCATTAAATCTGCATAAATTCTCCAGTGTATAAAACAGTAACTCCAAAGGGGAAATCATTCTTCCCCTGTGTTTGGATGATGTATTCATGGCACATAGGAGGGAAGGTGTCTGATACGACACATACATGCATGGCGTCATGTGTGAAAGGAGGAATGCATAAGAAGTTGTTAGCCACATATATGTTTGTGAATGCTTAAAAAATTATTAATAGTGGGGAGAAGAGTGCCCCGGATTTGTTCCTCCTGACTCCACTCATCCCCAGTCATTCCTATCTGGTGGAAGACAGGCTTTCCCCCCCAGCTCCCTCACCTAGCCACCTACTCTCAGGTATTACCAGTGTTGGAGGTGCACTGATCAGGGAACTCTTTTTAAATTTTTTTTATCAAAGCATATTTAATTGGTGGATAGATTTATTGAATAACATTGGAGCTCTATATCAAAAGTAGATGTAAACCCCCCCTCCCCAAGTCTCTCTCAACTCCATTTTTCCCCTGAGCATTTACAAGTGTAATTATAAGTAATAAGTGACTAAATGCCACACAGAGCTTTTACAAGTACCTATACTAATGGAATATATATATATATATATATATATATATTTCCTCCCCTACAGTCGCTTCTGCTAACATCTTCAAAATGCATCCTGTTTTATCTTTCTAATGGCAAAGACCTAAACGATTTAACACGATTCATAAATATCTGGGCTGAAATGTATCGTTTAATCTCTTCCGCTTGTTGATAGGAAACAGTTGTTAAAATATCTAGGATCATTATCTTTGAAAGAACAAAATAATAAAAAAGGCCCAGAGTCTCCTTTTCTCTTGTTTTAAAAACTGGCTAGTAAACATTGTAATAAGAACATTGGGAAAGCACACACACACACACACACACACACACAAAAAAAACACCATAAAAAAATTAATGGACTCCTGTCAGACAGAATTATAATGAATAAGAGTACGGTTATAAATGCTTTGTGCTCAACAGTCACAGAGGTATTTTGTATCACGTTGCATGTTACAATCAGTATGTATTATATATATATTTTTAACCTGGGTCTTTCAGTTTGGTGTTGGAATCTTCTAGATTGCAATATGATGAATCCCTTGGGGGGGGGGGCGGAGTATCCAAATGCAATGACGCCGAGGGTCATCCATTGCTACAAGTTACTTCCATTTCCCCATACTAAGAGTGGCATTTGGTAAGTTTATATGGCAAAAAAGTAAGTAAAAATCACCCTCCCCCCCATTTTTTTTTTTTTTTTGGAGATTTTGTCCTTTTCAAAATGAGGTTATCTGAATGATGATAAAATAATAAGGGTACATTAATCACTTTCTTCCTGTATAAATAAGAATAATATATAAGGAACATAAACAACTTCTGTTTTACCTAATTTGGTTTGAAGCTTTCTGATAATGGCTAATAGAATAATAATGTTGTATAACAGAATAATAATGTTAAACTGAAGTCCCTGTGTGAACACATGCCAGTTACTTTAAGGCTCAGTTTTATTGTTGTAGCTGCGCTCACTGATTTAGATGTCCTTGTCAACCAATTATTTCAATCATTAACAAAATGCAGTAAGATTTTTATGGTGCAACTCTGAAAACCACTGCAGAAATGTTTTCAGGAATTCTTTGCAAATCATTACTACTTCATTTTTATTTTTATTTTATAAATAATGCTTCATTTTATAAACAACCCCTCCATACTAGTAGCATTGAAGGTTGTGTGCGCCTTTGGCCTGATAAATCACTTTTCATTTCAGCAAGTCAGTAGCAGAGCAGAATCTTCTGTGTGTGTAGTGCGTTTTAATGACCAAGGGATTAGAAGTCTTGCAATGCCTGCTCCTGATGGAATCCATGTTATTACTTTTAAATCTTCTTATCCTGTGCCTTCTTCCAGAAAGTCATCTTACCCTCCCTAGCTGGTTGGAGTAGATGAAGCATTTAGAAAGCTCTCACTCCAAGTCTCCTTGTTTGTGACACAAGGGAGTCTTCAGCACTCGTGAATGAACATCAACTAAACCTTCTAAAAGTGGAGCAAACATTGATTTTGCTCCAAAGATGTCTTTATGCACATAGTGAAAGAGGTGGGAACCATGTGCATGGAGTGTCTTCATTTGAGGTGGCTACAGAACTTCAAATATTGTTCACAAAAATATTCAGGGTTTTTGTTTTGCTTTTACTGGTTGTGGTGTTTCAAAATGTGTAGATTAGCTCATGGAGAACCAGTGAGGTGTGATCCTCATCTTTGACCCACTTTCATCAGCACGAATCAGGGGCCTGCTCTTTGTTGTTTGTTTGTCATCTCATATATACAGAATGCCAGTCTTTATGAATTAAAAATGGCAACACCCACACACCAGATGGAAAAGTATTAGCAGGTTTGTAGAAATGCAAAATCAGAAGGACAAATACCAAGCAAAAACCCAAACCTAAAGGATGGGAAAATAACCCAAACAGCCCAGTGGGGCTGTGGATTCCCATTGAGCATAGGCTGCCTGTTAAGAAGGTGAACAAATGAAAAGCCGGGGACTGGAATGACTGGAAACCTGCATAAGAGCTCTCAACACAGCAGCATGTATTCTGCAATTCTCCTTCTGGCTGTGCATTTCACTTTTCCTTCCATTCTCCCTCTGATTTATTTTGATGATGGTGATTATAAAAAAACAACATAACAACATCATATCATGAAAATGTATTGCATAT